GAGTCCAATAATGGCCTTTACGCTCCTGCGAATCATGGTGTCGATGCCGTCAAGTATGGCAGGAGGCAGCTTTGTTAGGGGCGCAGTTTGGAGAGGGTAAGTAAGACCCGGGAACAGATATTGGTTGACAATGTTAAGCTTCTGCTCCGGCTTCAGCAAGGGAGAGGTAACCAGTTTATTCAGATTTTCGTTCAATTTGGTCACCGAATCTTCGTTGAACTGTAGCTCTCCCGAGAATGTACATCCTAAATACTTGATTGTATCTCCATTCTTCAATGTTTGGATGTACTCACCATTCTCAAGGGAGAGCACAGTAGTTTTCAGCTCTCCTTTATTTACAACGATGCCCATACTTTTTTGAGGATTTATAGCCAGACCAATTTCTTTAAATGTCCTCTGGATGCTGTCAATCACTCTTTCTGCAGCCCCCTTGTCTCGCGCCGACACAGCCTGGTCATCCGCGAAACCTGTGAGGACCACACAGTCTTGCTCATTCCTTAATTTGTATCCAAATTTCTTGGAAAAGTCCTCATCGCACAGGTCGCAGTAGAGATGATCGATGGCCAGGTTGAAGAGTGAAGACGACAGGGGGCCGCCTTGGGGCACACCGCGCAGCACTTTGATCTGGCTAGTTGCATGGACACCGTTATTAATCTTTATGGTGTTCGTGCTAAGGAGAGCCGATATGACATTTGTAAGATTCGGTGACACACCTCTCGCTTCTAAGGAGCTCACGATGTGTTTGTGGCCAACATTGTCAAAAGCACCGACAACGTTGAGGAAAACTATCGCACAGTCATTTTTCATTTTTTGTGCAGCATTCATTACAGTTTGCACAACCTTTTTTCTTTTATTGTAATAATTATATTGGGCAACCTCATACTGATACTGCTCCTGCCGACGACTCCTGTCTACTTTGTTTGCCCTCTGCGGATTTGAAACTTGTCCAGCACCCTTGTCAGCCATTTTCATTTTATTTTTTCCTCATCCTATAAAATTTTACGGCTGGGTGCTGGGGACCTGGCAGTTCCGCATTGATAACTTTGAGGAACTTTAGGAACTTGCCTACGGCCTCATCAAAATCCGCAGAATAAAATAACCTAAAAATAAATAAATAAAAAAGAACACATACATACCTATATACACTATTTACAATCAGGCGAGAGAACTCCGAGTCAGACTTGTCCCTCCAACTGTGGAGGGAAAAGCATGACTCCAGGAGATCCCTGCACTTCTCTCTCAACCGTGTCACTCTGAGTGAGAGCATGTTTCGAGTAAGGATGGATTTAAAATGCAACATATGTGATAAATACTGGAAGAAATACCCCCTTATACAAAAAAATAGCGCTTTCCTCCGAGGGCTGGCTGATCTAGATAGGGATACCATTAAGGCATTGTGCAAATTTATTGAAGAATCCATAATAGATTTTTAAAAATAAACAAATAAATAATAATAATGTACCTCTATATCTCCATTATATTTTAATATAACAATAGGGGCAGTATACTTTTGTGGGAATCTTGGGCTCACGAAATAAAAATAAAAAATAAGGATGGATCCATGTGATATGCTGAAATTGTAGCCTTCTTTTAAAATTTCTTTCTAGAGTGACCCTGTTTAGGCAACTTTTCCAATTATGGCAAAATAACTTTCATGAGTTTCAATAAGGCAACATTCTAGTTTTTAAGCAGTGGACTATATCTTAACGGATTGGTAGGTTAATGATTGTACAAAAAAAAATAGCTTACCATCTATATGCCAGCCTACATCTTTTTTACCTTGGAGGGCCCTCCGCCGTTGGTCCTTGTTGGGTGAATGCTGGTCAAGAAATGGCTTCGAGAGAACCAGTCTCTCTCAAAGATTAAGTATTATCTTTTATCTTTTAGATCTACCCCCACCACTCGCCATTTCACAAAACAAAATAAAGAAAAACTAAACTCAGAGATTGGTGATTACCGGGCAAAGCACAAATTAGAGGAAAGTTGTTTGGTTTACTACAAAGAGAGAAATTAGGCTAATAATTTACAATTAACTTAAAATAAAATGATTCCCCATTAAATTTAAATAAAAAATATAAATCTCAATAAAATAAGGTAGAGATACTAACTTTCGCAACTGTCGCACCAAAGTGGCTGTAGCAGTACTCAATTTTACAACCCTAACTACACTGTCGGGCCCTGGAAGTGTCTCTATTATCCTGACAAGCCGTCACTTCTCGTGCAGAATTACAAAGGTTCCCTCCTTTAAATTTTCCCTATCTGTATACCACTTGTTGCGAGTAATCAGATGATGAAGGTATTCATTATACCACCTCTTCCAAAAATTACGAAGAGTCTTGGAAATCATCTACCAACGACTTGTCAAAGGAAACTCAGGTGCGTCTTCTTGTCTGGCTAGGAGGGATTGACCTATAAGAAAGTGTCCTGGGGTAAGGTTATCCAGGTTATCCGATGGCTGACTGCGAATGTTGCAGATAGGACGGGAATCGAGAACGGCTTCAACTCGTACAAGAAGAGTATGAAATTCCTCATAAGTTAACACATGATCCTGGAGAACAGCAAGAAGGTGCTTCTTAGCAGATTTAATTGCTACCTCCCAAATACCACCGAAATGAGGAGATGCTGGAGGAGTAAATGTCCATTTTATACCCGTCTTACCCAAATAGTCAGAAATGGGTTCACTCTGGCCCTTAACAAATTGATAAAGCTCCTTCAACTTCTTGGATGCTCCAACGAAATTTGTTCTACAGTCACTAAAATGGTCTGTGTGCGTGTGTGTATATCTGTGTTTTTAACAGTCTAGCTCAAAAAACGAAAAGTCGTGCGGAAGTGAAATTGCATATTTAAGGTTTTTATATGCTAGGGATGTTATAGCAACATTTTCGTCAAAATCGGCTAACCGGAAGTGGCACTTTATATAATGGACTAAACACATTTTTACGATTATCTCGAAAACCGCTCTAACAATTTTGATTAAATTCATCATATCAGTGTAAAATTAAGCAGTTTAAATAAAATGTGGTTATTATTCTGATTGATGTTCTCTAACAGGGCTTAAATGGCTAATTTTCAATATTAGCTTCCTCTAAAGTACCTTTAATTTTTTTTTATTTGAAACAATTGACCATTTCACATTAATTTCTAATATGAAAAATGGTTAAATATAAAATATGAAAGAATTTGATAAATAACTAAAGGAGAAATAAGAGATCGTAACGGAGAATAGTTGTAATTGAGGAACCAAAAGACTACGAAGGCACACCCAAGGTCGCCTGAAAGGTTAGAACACGTTTCCATACGTATTATGAGAATAATATAATACGGACTCTGACAATATTATATAAATATACATATATGGTTTTCATAAATGCTATTGTTGGTATTATTTAATATTTAATTGTATATATTACAGCGATATAAATATTAAAATTTGTATATATGAGAGTACTTATACAAATGAAAATACCCAAAATGAAATATAAATAAATATAGAGTCTATAATTTTTACTTTCACTTCGCTTTATCTGAAAATACTAATTTCTGTTAAAAAGAGGGTGGTAAGTGAAAGTTGTGTGATGCACGCACTGGACCAGATTTTTTCTATATAGAATGTTTCGTCCTTTGTTGCACTAAATTCATTTGTCTTCAAATGATTTACAATCTTCTGCCAAATACAACTTCCAAGATGGTAATACTATTACTGGGTTTTACCCACTGAAGCCACTATCCCTTCTCCTATCCTCTCTTCACTACAGCCACACAATTGCTGGACAAAAAAAAAATCTTTGTCCCTCCCCTCTTTGGGATTTACCTTTTTAGGGAAACTACAGAGCAGCCAATCTCTTTTCCCTGAACTAGTAAAACTTGATTAGCTTGCTTTTTAAGTGTTACATTAATTTATTAAATCATTTTTGCTCACTTCCAATAAAGGCGTATATTATGTTATATCAATGACCTTTCCCTTCTGATCCATCACTCCCAATACTGTATCTATGCAGATACATTGGTTACTTCCTGCTTATTGTTATGTAGGCTTGTTAACTAACTCCCCTGTGCTACAGACCATCATGGCCCTTGACCTCCTGAGTTAGTCTTCTACACTGCGTTTGACTGCTCAATTGCTGCATTAGACAAATCATTCGTAATTAAGTCATCTCCTTTTTGAATTCTATCCCTCCTGATATCTGACATGCACAATCAGTTACCTCATTTAAATCTCTCCTTTGTAAGCACCTACTCCTTTCCATACCTGACTCATCACGAAAGGTACATAAAAGAACTTTTTAAGTTCCCCCAGAAACTATTGCTTACTTATATTATTTGATTTCCCTAAGTTTATTTTAATTTTAATTAGAGATTATTTTGTAATATTTAATTTAATGGCCTCTGTATTCTGTACAGGCATTTTCTCTGTATTTATAATTTGTTCTAAAGGAACAACAGTCTCAGGATAATAAAAAATATATTATCATTTCATTTCACTTCTTTCTTGATTACGGACTTCTAGGTTCCTCGTTTCACTCTTCACTTCATCTTTCAGCCTGTTTCTCGGCCTTTCTCTTTTCCTCTTCCCACCGAAGTGCGCCGTTTGCTTTTCTTCTGCAACCGTTCATTCTCCATGTGAGCTTGTTAGGTAGTAAAATGTTTGTCATCATAGTTGCCAATAAATTATCAAATAATAAGGAGTATACAAAAAAAAATTAAAATAAAATTGTATTCACAATACATGGTTTAAACTTAAAGTAAGTTGGTTTTGTGTATCACCATTCCTTTCTCACTCGCTTCTAAACTTACAAAATAGAAGCTTATAAACTATTTTTTTTTTTTAATTGATGCTTTAAACTTACATAGTTAAGTAAGAATACATAGTTAAGTATTAAATAAGTTTGACAACTTTTTATCATCTTTAAAAATTTACAAAAATTAGTTTAGTATAGTTTCCTTTTATTAAATCTTAAAATTAATGTGAATTACATCATTAACCTTCTGATTAATAATAGGTTTTAGATGATGCATTTAATGATCCTCTGTTGAAAGCATTCCTTACTGATGAAATAAATACATTTAGAGGCATAGGAGGAGTACGGATTGAAGATGTTGTATTAGTGACTGAAAGTGGCTATGAGATTTTATCTCATCTACCTAGAACGTAAGCACTTATAATCTGATATAATTGTAGTTTGTACTAGTTTAAGAAATATTTCAATTCATTAATTTACCAGGTACACTAGTTGATAATGCAGATTTTCTTCTTAATAATATCTTTTCAACAGGAACATAAAAAATACTGCATATCTTATTCAAAGTAATGTCCATTCCTAGATACACATCTCTTCTATCTTTCATATAATTTATGGATACTGTCCCAATAGAACTTTTTTTATTTAAAATAAATCATTCACAGATCTAATTTTCCTCTCCTTATGTTTTAAAATTTAAAATGCTGATCAAAAATAGTCGTAAAATAATAATAGTAATACCCGTTTCAGTAGGTCTATTTCATGTGTCATCTTCTTTGGCCGCCAGTGCAGTTTTAATTTTAAAAATTCAAAATGGCATTTTTATTTCAAGCAATAGATAGAATGGGAATGGAATGGAATGGTCTTGAATTAGTTCCAGTAAACCATTTGGAACGGAATGAGTGGTCTCGTTCCAAGTGAAGTTCAGTATGAGAATGGAATGGAATGAGCTGCCTTGTATTGTGTTTAAGAAAATTATTCCAACTTTTGGTTTTGTATAATTATACTGTTTTTTATTGGTTAAAGTGTCTACGTATGTTGTTATTTTCAGGTTAAATTTGTATGCTTTAGATTAGTTAAATTGTATTTATAATAACTAAGTAAATTAGAAAAGAAAAATGGATTTTAATTTCTATATTTTCCTTATATATTCTTTTGTATTTTCTTGTTACTTTGGGGTAAGGGGATATTTAAGGGAAATTAATTACACAAATATATGAATTTTACTTACCAAAAAGGAGTTTTATTGTTAATTTGTAATATAAAATTTAATACGAATTTAAAAAAAAAAATGGAATTTAATAACGAAAGGGTTATCTTTATTAGCCAATGATAGATTCCATCATTCATTGATCAACATGCCAGCTTTTGAAAATATTCTCTTTATTTCTCATATAAAATACCATTTGCTAGGTACCTGTTCAGTTCAATTATTTCCTTTGATTCAGGTGTACATTTTAAGATTAATCTATAATCTTGTTTCAAGTGTTGTTCTAAACGAAGGTGGAGAGAAACCTATTTTTGTAGTGAAACGGAACAAGCCTCAAGAAGTTGACCAGAAATATCAGATCAAGTAATTTACAGTGGGAATTCCCTTTGTCAAAACAGTGTACTTGAACTAAGATTTTCCTTGGAGGAACAACAAAAAAGTGTGATGGATTTTCTGTTCAAATTATAAAATTGTTATAAAACTAGATGAAATAAATTAAATAAAAAAATCATTAAAATTGTAAGAAAGTATCGGCATAGGGCCACTTCCTGCTTGTGGCAAGCTTCTTTGATATTTAGCAAACCACGTCCTCCTTCTTTCCTAGGTACATACAGATGAGCTTTGGAGGATATTGGGTGGTGGGCCCGCTCTTGTGTGAGAGTCGTTCGCACAAGGCGGTTGATCTCCTGTAGGCTGGTGTTTGACCAGTGCAATATGCTGAAACTATAACCGAGAGCAGGTATTGCCCAGGTGTTAATAGCCTTGTTGTGTTAATAGCCTCCTTTCACACCATCACAAGCTGCACAAGAAATTAGACAATTGCCCAAAAGAAAAACCCCTGGTGATGACTTGATAACTGCTCAAAGTATCCACACTCTTACAGCAACCTACACAGATGACACGGCTATCATTATCAGGCACGACAATCCTACAGAGGCATCACTCAACTTACAACATCACTTACAAATAATACTTGATTGGTGTAAACTTTGGATCAAATAAATTATCAAAAGTCACAACACATCACATTTACTCTAAGACCAGAAACACATGTCCTCCTGTATACTTAGACAACATACCGATTCCACAAACAGACAGAGTACAATACTTAGGCCTTACGTTCGATAGGAGAATGACATGGGGTCCACATGTGAAGAAAAAACGAATCACATTAAATTTAAGACTAAAATTGTTACATTCACTGTTAAGACGACATTCCAAATTAAAAGCAAGACAGAAACTAAGTATTTACACATGTCTTTTAAAACCTCTTTGGCCTTACTGACTACAAATATACGGAATTGCAAAACCAACACACATAAAAAAACTTCAAACTTTTCAGTCCTAAGATACTACGACTAATCACTCAAGCACCATGGTACGTAAACAACCACACTTTACACACCGACTTACACGTTCCGACAGTCAATGAACACATAAGAACGTACTACAAACGATTTCATAACATGGTAAATGGGCATTCCAACCAGCTGGTAAAAGAAATGGCCACAACTAGTATGCCTGAGAACTCCAGAAGACGACTGAAAAGGGTCTGGATGAGAGATCTACTTAAATAATGTTTTAGTAAATAAAAGCCATGGAAGGGATACCGCTGGATATTGCCATTCCTAATGCCTATCAAGCCTTTTTATTTTATTTTATTTTTCTCTCATTACTACGCCAGCACATCTGCTGATTGTCAATAGTTGTAATTGACGGGTGCGGATAAATAAATAAAAATGAAAAAAAATATATATTAGATAATATTGAGACATGGTTAAAAAGTAAAATGAATACAAGTGAAAACGGATGATCATACATTGATGTAGAATGTAAATATAAAATTAAAATTAAATAAAAGAGAGATCATACAAAGCGGGAATACATAGAATAATGAACAACTTAATTGAATTAATCAATAAAAATTGAAATTAGATAAAAATAAAAATAATAGGATGTAGTATATAAGTTATTTTTCACTTATTAGATTTAAAATGTGTCTATATGTTTAAAAAATGCAGTTTTTATCTACTTTATGATTAACAGGATTCTGTTCCATGTGAATGTGGACGGATTCGGAAATGAATCTTTTTCCATGGTTAGGGACCATGGCAAGAATAGAGGTTTTTTCAAAATCAAATGAATGGTTGAGGGTTAAGGCATGTTCTGATAGTTTGGAGGCAAAAGGGTTCCGGGAAGTTATGGATGTTTTGTGTTGGGAAATGCGGGGCCATGAGAAATTCTGTAGCACCAGATATTTCCAATATTGTTCTCAATGACCTCAATCTCTCCTCTACAAATACCTATTCCATTCCCAATTCAGTTGATCATGAAATGCACTTAAAAATCTAAGTCTTAACAATCTCAAAATGCTCTCAAATACTTTGATTATTTTGTGATTTGTTGATATTTTGTTTAATTTCTTATTTTATACTTGTGTATGTTTTTATTTATATCTTTTCATTATTTGTACTTTTATTTTATTACCAATCAACCTGTTAATATTTAATTGTATTTTATGGACATACCAGAATGGTAATATATAATCTGTATTTATAATTTATTCTAAAGGGATACTAGTCCCAAAATAATAAAATTATTTTCATTCATTCAGTATAAATATTAAACTTATCATAATAATTAAATACTTAGTAAATGCAAAGGTTCCATACTGACACCACCAATCTCTGTCTATGCATCTCCCTTCACTGATTGCTGTCTAAACCCAACCCCACCAAATCAGCCGTAACACAATCTTCCCACCTTCGCTTCAGTCTACCTCTCAGACATTTACCAGTCAGCATGACAGATATTAACTTGTTAGGGATTCTTTTGTTACCAAATCCAACTATTTTACACACATTTTATTCACTGCAATGTAATCACCTCAAGTATACAGGGTGTTTCAGGGTTAAGTGGCCAAACTGAAAATATGAACTAGGGACCTCAAAAAAAAAAAAAAAAATCCTATGAAGGTATGTCCGCAAAAGCTTTGTTTAGGAGATATTCACACCTAAAGATTTTCGTTGTTATGAATTATTTATGTTATATTAAGTAAATACAACTTATTTATTTGTTCAAACCACTTTATCAATTAAACGTAAAAATTAAAATCGTATTAAATGTTGTTCAAAATGATTTCCTTGAGCATTAAAACAGGCTCAGCACCTTTCTTCAAAAGCAGCAGTGGCAGCACGGCACTGGATATGTGTTATTGTTTCACAAGATTCAATTATCCTTCTTCTTAAGAAATTGAGGTCATTGAGTGGACTTGTCTAGACTTTTTGTTTAATCACCCCTAACAAAAAAATCCAGTGGTGTCAAGTCTGGAGAACGTGAAGGCCAAGCTACTGGTCCTGCACGGCCAATCCATTGATTGGAATAATTAACATTTAGCCATTGTCGTGGACCTTTTCCGATGGGCAGCATTAGTATTACCATTGCAAAAACCGTATACAAACACTATATCGCCATATTCACCATTAGTATAAATGGAATGCATAATGATGAGTACTCAGCGAAACCCTCTTACAAACTGATAAATGTTATTGAGAGTTCCCTAAGCTAATTCCGAATAATATTAATCCTTATGTTGTCAACAGTTTTTATACAGTTAGGGATAAGGCCATATTAGTATTCTATCTAATCCATCTCCTAAACAAAGCGTTGAGGACATACCTTCACTTTGAACAACATTTAATATGAATTTTAATGTTTACATTTAATTAATAAAGTAGTTAGAACAAATAAATAGGTTTTATTTATTTCATATAATGTAAAAAATTCATAACAACGAAAATCTTTAGTTGTGAATATCTCCTAAACAAAGCATTTGTTTACATACCTTTAGAGGAAATTTTTTCTTGTTTTGAGGTCCCTAGTTCATTTTTGCAGTTTGGCCTCTTAACCCTGAAACACCCTGTATATACAGATATATATGGATTCAGTTCACGCAATTCAGTGTTGTGCAACCATCTAAATTCTTGGGTTGACTCATCTTTCTTTGGTCCAAATATTGTATGCAATACTGTATTTTCAAAAACCCTAAGATATTGCTAATCTCTTAGTGTAAGCGGCCACATTTCGCATCCATAAAAAAAACCTTTGGTAGGATAATGGTTTTGTAAGTTCTAATTCTTAAGTTTCAGGACAAGAGATGCGAGCTAAGTAGTTTTGTCACAAAAAAAATAACAAGCATTT